AATTATAACCAAGATTATCAACGCCTCCATGTCTAACGGAGAATTTCCTGATCAGTTAAAACAATCCCTGGTATGTCCATCTTTAAAGAAGCCTTCATTGGACCCGAACTGTCTCTCAAATTACAGACCGATTGCAAATCTATCTTTTCTCTCAAAAACAATCGAAAGGGTGGTCGCAAATCAAATATACAGATTTATGGCTGAGAACCAGTTATTTCCAGCGATGCAGTCAGCATACCGCAAATACTACTCCACTGAAACTGCTTTAATAAAAGTCTCAAATGACATCCTAAGAGCTGTAGATCAAAAAGAAGAAGTAGTACTTGTTTTGCTAGACCTTTCCGCTGCGTTCGACACGATCGACCATAACATATTACTTGAAAGAATGGAGAAACGTTTCGGATTTGGAGGTATCGCACTAAAATGGTTCAAATCATACCTAGAACATCGTGTTCAGTCAGTGAAGATCAAACACTCCATCTCTAAGCCTCGACATATCTCCTACGGCGTACCCCAGGGATCAGTACTTGGTCCACTACTCTTTCTAATGTATACCTCGCCTACAGAAGACATTGTTGCTGAACATGGCCTAAACTGTATGATATATGCCGATGATTCGCAACTTTACATAAAGATAAACTCCTCTGACAGAATGCTAGGCATGGAAAGATTGAAATCATGTGTTAATGCAATCATGGAGTGGGCCAAGAAAAACAGATTGCAGTGCAACCCTTCAAAAACAGAAATCATTCATTTCCTCTCACGCTTCTCAAAAAATCCTCCTTTCTGTAATATCAATATTGGAGATGATATCATTAATTTATCTAATACTGTTCGAGACCTAGGCGTCATGCTTGATTCTGTGATGAACTTACGCTCGCATATAAATTCCATCTGTAAATCGTCGTCTCTAGCAATCAGAAATATCGGTCGCGTTCGTAAATACCTCTCGACGCTGCAAAATGAAAGATTGATACACGCCTTTATCTCATCGAGACTTGATTATTGTAATAGCCTATTGTACGGTCTACCGATTTGTGACATCGAAAAATTCCAACGGATCCAAAACACAGCTGCCCGCTTGTTAGTCGGTGCCAAATCAAGAGACAGTATAACACCTATACTTATGAAACTTCATTGGCTCCCGGTCACAAAACGAATTCAATTCAAGATACTGTTGATAACATACAAAGCACTAAATGACATGGCTCCAACCTATCTTGTTGAACTTCTTAGTCGATATATTCCTGCACGAAACCTCCGTTCATCAAATATGAATCTACTTGAGGTCCCAACAATTCGAACTAAAACGTATGGGCAAAGAGCATTCTCCTACGCAGCACCGTATTTGTGGAACCAACTACCTGAATGCATAAAAAACGCCGAATCTGTTGACTCCTTTAAACGCTTATTGAAAACTTATCTTTTCAAAAATTAAGCCACCAGATTATTTGATATCGTACGTTGTCAAACATATGCATAACACGTAATAATTCATTAGTTTAGATAGAGTAGCGAATTGCATGTATAGGATTTTTATCGAAATTTTGTTAATTTGAAATTGTAAAGCGCATAGAGTTCAATTTTAATGCGCTATATAAGAACTTATTATTAAATTAAATTAAATTAAATGATTTACCTTCAAACATTTTAAAGTGTTTTTGCCATAAACTGGGAGAAAGAACAGCATAAATCTACATTTTTGAGGTCTTTGATAATATAAGCATCCATAACAGATTCTAATTGGAATAAGTCACCAATAGCAATTATGCTCACACCTCCAAAATCCTCTCTACAGCCTTTTATATCTTTAAGCCTATTGTTTAGCTGTATTGCAAATTACCATTACCATTTCCTACCATTGAGATTTCATCAACAAAAATCAATTGACTTCTCAAAATGTTTAGTCTACTTGAATCAAGCTGTTTGTAATGTCTCAGTGATTCATTGGCAGGAATGGCCAGAGTGCTATGAAGAGTGTTACCCTTAAGCTTTACCAGTTGGAGCTAATAGTATAACTTTGATCTGATGAAAATCATCACCTGCTCTAGTGTTATAATACTTAAGCACTGCCTGATACAAATCTTTTGTTAAATGCGATTTGCCAACACCAGCCCCTCCACTGAGGAAGCAGTAGAAAGGGGTTTCTGAGGTTTTAATCTGATGTAAAATGTGATAAAAAATTCTTTTTGCTCTTTATCGGGTGTCTGGACCATTTGACGAAAATCGAAATCAGGTAATTCATTCAATATCAGTGGTTCATTATTCAGCGATGTTGATGGAATGTTGAGATCATCAGAGAGGTCATAGTTTTCACTTAAATCAGGATGTAAATCTTCATGAGATCCAATCCTTGAACAGAATTGGTCAATGGAGATCCCTATACTTACTTGTGTGCTTGAGCGAGCAACAACAACAATCCAACTAACTAGAAACTCAGTTTATTAAAATAGATAACACTCTTGACAGTTCAAGGCAAACAATAGTTTCTTTCAGTTTGTGACACTTTGAGACACTCGTGAGACATTTTGAGACACTCGTGAGACACTTTGAGACACTTTGAGACACCCTGAGACTCTTTGAAGCGCAACCCGCACAAATACATTCAAGCCGACAAATGTTGGCTTGCGAGAGTACAATGACTCCTTTCAATCTGGCACAACCCGCACCGAAGGTCCAAGCCGATAAATGTCGGCTTGTGAAAGCGTAAAAGCTCCTGTGCAACCTGCACTGAACACAAGCCGCGTTTCAGCGTGTTGGCTTACGTGAAAAAATCATCTGTTATAGACACCTGAAGAAATAACGAAACAAACGCCTCAGATTATGAAAGAAAGAACACAAACCAGGTGTACAAACGTAATCGCCTTTCGTGAGAGCTTAATCGTGAAGCTCCCACAACAAAATTGAAAAGTTAAAGTACGCAAAGAACCCGTGAAAATATGAAATGACTTATCCTTACCTTGGAAACGAAAATCCCCAAGAAACAAATATGAAATTCCGAATAAGTTCTCCAAAACCCAACGACTGAGAAGAGAAATGGCCGCCGTACAATACACTATGAAAAAACGCTGACTGGAATCCAGTCTTCACGGCTCACTGAACGCAAATAGAAACCACGTGACAAGCACTTCTCTCTCGTGGACAAATAAATAAAGAAAGAAAGAAATAAAGAAATAAATTTCGCGGGCCTTGACTAAGTGTGGGAAATCCCACACAAAAACTGTCGATCCCCATTGATTCATACGTCTAACTTCACATGTGCCAAACTTAATTATTAGGTTCGGCACATGTAAAGTTTGACGTTTGAACCGGGCTTAAGTTATGGATCCTCATTTTCCTACTTCTTTTTATGACTGATGTGCTATGTGCTTGGGCCATATGGCAGTGGAAAAAACTTGGTCCATTGCTTCATATAAGAAATAACTCATAACAACGTCATCTTTTCTCACTACATGAAATCATTAAATATGCTAATTATGCTCATTATTTTATTGATCTTACAGTGCTATCCTAGGCCCAGTTGTTCGAAGGCCAATAAGCACTAACCCAAGGTTAAATTTTATTCTAGGTTTCTTTATTCCTTTATTCAAAAGCCTTTTTGGGATAACTTTCTGTGTTCTTTTAAGAGCATCAAAGAGCCATATTCTAGACAAAAAGAAATTTGACTAAATTTCCTTTTAAAGCTTTCAGATCTGAAAGCTTTAAAAGAAAATTTCACACTAACCCTGGGTTATCTTAACCCAGTTTTAAACAACTGATGTTTAATTGTTGACTATCATTTTCATGAATTTCACAATGAGCAAGATATCCTTTCCATTTCATTATGACTTGTGCATCTGTGACTGTAACAGAAAACCTTGGAATGTCACTAAAAATCAATAAACAGTGTTATTTTTTATTACTATCATGAATAAAATTTTGTTTTTCAAATTAGCTGATGTCATTGAGCAAAATGTGGTGAAAGAAGAAGGTGAGCTTTCTTAAAGCAAATTTGTGTACATGGAAGTTTGGCATTTCTGATGTTAATAATTTCCCCCATCTCTACTATTTCCTGTTTTTTCACTCACCCAATAGAAAAACCCTGACACCAATTTTCTTTTCAATTTACATAGAAAGGGCAAGAGCTGGGCAAGAGCTTTGCAACAGCAATTAAGCAAATAAATCTGATATTTCACTTTATGAGAGCAAAGCAGGAGCAGCAGCAAGAGCAAAAGCTACAAAGATATCAACAAACACTGGGCGATAGATAACTTGCCTGTTCATGTTGAAGAATTTCTCAAATGCACTAGTCCAACTTCATGAGCCCCAGAAGATGGAACAGTTTTGGATTTCTTTCTCCTTCTTTGGTGAGAAGATCTGTTCACTAAAATTGTGGAGGAAACCAACCATCATGCTGAACAGTGCACTCAAACAAAACAACATGTGAAGAAATGCATGCATTCTTCACATTTAATGTTTCGTTTGGCATCAAGTCCTTGTCAGAAACAAGTGTAATGATTAATGTGTAATAGTTAACCATGATTGTGTAACTTCCGTTGGGTTATGAGATGCAAATAGCTCAGCAGATCAGTTTTTCTTAATCGAGCGACGAGATAACACGTGTGAATATAGTAGCGTTGATTACTCGAAAGAAACCGAAAGAAAAGAGTTAAGATTGGAGAAAGAGGTATGATTTGTAGCTGTAATTTGTATTAATCTATTTAGTTATAGTATTTCTCTTATATTATTGCTCGTGATTAGTGTTATTTTGTGAATTTCTCGTACTGTGATACGCCCCCTTTTGCGTTTTTATTGTACAATCGATGTTCTGTACGAATTATAGTAATAGGCTTTTCGTTGTAATTATCCTTTCAGTTTTTACGTAATCAAGTAAATCAAGAAATTAAAGAGCTTTGATCGATACGAGTGGCTTACTTGGTTTCAGTATAAAGTCTTATCTAAATATCGCGTTCGGAGCAACGATGGAATGTCTCTAGATCCCTCCGTCCGCTACAACAAGAATGTACTACTTGAAAGACAACTTTGTTGGTGTTCCAACCGTTCAAAAAGTAATGCCAAGGAATCACTTTGGGAAGATTCGACAGTATCTTTGTTTAAACATGTTACCACAAGATGACCCTGCTTATGATAAGCTATTCAAAATGCGTCCTTTGTTGGATAGACTTGCCAGCACTTTCTGCAAAGAGTGTCAGCCATCAAAGTTCATTTCAATTGATGAAGGAATGGTCAAGTACAAAGGAAGACTTGGCTTCCAGCAGTATCTACTCATGAAGCCCATGAAATGGGGCATTAAAGTATGGGTCAGAGCCAATGCGATAAATGGTTTTGTAAGCCTAAACACAGTCTTGGACGCTATGTTGTTTGTAATCTTCTGAGTGATCTAAAGGGAAAAAAATTATCACATCTTTTGCGATAATTTTTTCACTTCAGTTCAACTGGCTGAAGATTTGCTGTCCAACAAACTCTACATTTGCGGAACTACGTGTGCCAAAAGAAATGACTTTCGTAAAGACTTGAAAGCCAACAAGCCCTAAGTGAAAGTGCTCCACTGTGGCACATCTGTCTTTTGTTGGAAAGGGAACATTGTCCTATCCGTATGGAATGACAAGAAAGCTGTGGCTTTTATAAGTACCCAATGCGATGCTAAAGGAAACCAAACCATGCACAGAAAGCAGAAGGATGGAACATACATTGAGGTTTCTTCACTTCCAGTGGTAAAGCTTTACAACCAATACATGGTGAAAGTCAAGCATAGTGATCAAATGTATTTGCTCAGTTGGACCTCTACGCAGACGATACGACTGTCACCGCTTCTGCGGATGTGAAGGACTTAGCCACCTTAAATTCATCACTAAACAAGTCTGTCTCCGAAATTCAATTATGGGCTTCAGCGAATAAGCTCCCATTAAATGAAGACAAGACTAAAGTACTTACGATCACTGGCAAAAGACGCGTGGCCAACATAAATAGAAGTGACATAGATGTAATCGTAAATAGAAAACAGCTCAGTAATGTGGATTGTGCTACCTTATTAGGCGTAGAAATTGACAGCAAATTGTCATTTAATGAACATGTTGAGAAAGTATGTAAAAAGTTGGCCTCTAGAATCGCAATATTGCGTAAGATCCAAGCGTGTCTACCTCTTAAACAGCGACTTCAGTTTTATAATAGCATTATTCGCCCTGTTATGTCTTACGCTAATGTTGTTTGGGCAAATTGCGATAAAGAGTCAGTTCATAGGGTCTTAAGATTACAAAAACGTGCGGCACGCGTTATTTGTTATGCCGATCGCATGACACCATCAGTTGCTTTGTTTAACAAGCTAGGTTGGATCCCGTTTTATGAGCAACATAAGATTGATAAATGCACAATAATGTGTAAGCGAATTAATGGGACTTTGCCGAATTATCTAAATGAACACTTAATTTTAAATAATAAGCGGCACTCCCGCAACACTAGATATTCAAGCACTAATGCTGTTTGTCCTAAATATAAAAGAGAAACAGAAGGAGGACGCTCTTTCGCTGTTTCGGCAACAAGACTGTGGAACAGTACACCAATTGAAATTAGGAAACTAAATTCTGTAGCATGTTTTAAAAAGAACATGTTTGCCAAGATTTTTAAGGAACAACAATTTTTGCATCATTTCATAATTTAATAATTTATTTTTTATCTTATAATCGAATCCTGTCATATTTTATATTTTAACTGTATATATATATATTTTAGCTTACAGTATTTTAGATTGTAAATAGTTGTGAGGGCCACAAGTTTATTAGCCTTTGGCTATTAAGTGCCACCCTCTTTAAATAAAGGCTTTAATTAATTAATTAATTAATTACATCTTAAAGGGCAAATAGATGGTGGCAGTAACTGTTATGGTTTTGTTTAGATGTTAGCATTGTGAATGCACATATTTTGACACAAATTGCAGTTTTCAATTTCACTTCCAAATGGAGAAGATGCTGATTAGCAACCTCTCATCACGGCAACATGCCCTTCAAGGAGGAACCATTCAGACCAGACATTGGCCTGTAAAAATAAGGGAAGATGTAAGAGATGTTTGAAGGGAAAAAGACAAAGTTCAGTCTGATGGGATGTAATTCATGTGGCAAGAGGTTCTGCTTGGATTGTTTCAAGAATCACAACACTGAAGCCTGACGTAGCACAAAATTCAAATGCCTTGAACAATGAACACTCTTTTGCTTCAGTTAAAAAAAAAACACTTTAGAAGACATACAGTGTTCTTTTCAAATTAATCATTTTCACTGTAAATATTTCTGTAAAACATTTTTGTTTGACCTACCTTATATCAAGAAATTGCTTAGTAAAACAGCATATATGCTTTTGTTCATTGAATCAAAATGGTGTGAAGAACAGTTTTGTGTGATTTTGAGGTTTGTTTTGTCTACTCATTTTCTCATATTAAAGATGTTACTTATCTTAAATGAAAACTTCAATCTCTAAAGAATTAAGTTTCTCTGCATTGCTCCGTCTAAAATTGCCTGGTTCACTCACTATTTTGCTATAGTTCTATGGCACCTCAAATTTGCCTTTCAAAAGGCATCATGATACCCAAACCCCACAAGCAATTAGGGTATTTACCTAGATAGGCACTCTTGGGAGTGAGAGGGCTAACTTATTTAATGATATTATTGGCTTGAGATTGTCTACAAACTCAGACAACTTAAGGCAATTTTGAGGCAGGAAACAAAAGTTATTTGACTTTGAATCAAACTGAAACACTTCCTCATGTTTTGGTTGTGTTCACAAACCATGATGAAGTAACAAGAATCCATGACACTACAAAATCTTTGAAAATGGCCCCATAACTTTTCAAAATAACCTCAACATTTCACCTCCCTACTGCTTCACTGTACAAGAAGGTACTCATATTTCAAGTATAGGGGTGGTATTTGTTCCGGCAACTGAAAAATATTTTGATGATGGACAAGAGATATTTGAAATATTACCCTTGTTTATGCAAGAGCTTGTGCTAGACTATCAGGTTTCATTTTTGTCAAAGGACAATGTGAGAAGTGTGTTTACTGAAAGTAAGAAAGATTTATAAGCTTTATGTTTATGTCTTATACCAAAATGTAATTTTCTGTTCTCATAGCTTCAGATTACTGAGATTCTACTGTCACCATTAAATCCTGAAAATCCAGCCTGTTCTTCTTAAAGGGGGGTGGGTCTAAGGAGGGTGGGGCCTGCCCCTAAGACTGGTCAAAAGAGTAAGTGTAAAGATCAGACAGCATTGTTTTCACTTGAGCATTCTTAGCTTGATGTCTGAATAATACAGGAGATAGGATGCATGGTAGGGGGGGTTAGGGTAGTTTGTGAAATACAGGAATCTAATTATTCACTAAGTACTGACATATAACATATGTCATCTGCAGATAATACACATGATATTTTTCAAATTTTCTGAGAAGGAAGAAGGCATGATGCTGGAATGCTTCAGGATTCTCAGCTCCTGCCGAGTTTGCAGATATTTGCTTTCAATCTTCATGGGCAACCAAAGTGCATCTATGGGGACCCTGCTTATCCCTTGAGGATTCAATTGCAGGCACCATTTTGCAACCGAGCGTTAACTCCTCAAATGCAGGCATACAATTCAGCCATGAGTGAAGTTTGATCCTCAGTGGAGTAGTTGTTTAGGGATTTCATTAATTATTTCAAGTTTTTGGACTTCAAAAAAATCTGAAAATTGGCTTAAGCAGTGTGGGGAAAATGTGTGTGATGTGTGCACTTCTTAGGAATGCACTCTCTTGTCTCAATGGCAACCAAACGTGAGAGTTTTTGAGCTTGACCCACCCAGCCTACAAGATTACTTTGCTTAAAAAAGTGTAAACATTTAACATTCATTACATTTAAGTTAAGATTTCCTAGACTTGAGTCTCAGAAATGGTGAAGTTTTGTCCCCAAATGAGAAAAAACTCAAATGTCAATTGTACACGTATGTTTCACAACCAAAGTCCTTTTGTATTGTAAGGACCATACATTAACTTACCATAAGTAGAATTAAAATAATAACAATTTTACATCCAATCTTTGAGTAAAACTTTGATGAACTATCAGATTCTTCCAACTTGTGTCATTTGATAATTATTTCTTGGGATCTAAGCTTGATTCTGGTTTGCAAATTTATTTTGCAGTTTTACTTTTATTTTCCTTTTTTTTTAAATTTAGGGAAAATAGAAAAACCAAACTGGTTTTAATTTTTTCAACCAAAAATAAATTTAAACTACAAAATAAACCTGCCTTTTTCTATTTCGCAACTGAACCAAATGGGTTGAAAATATCAAATAATGACAACCCCACTGAATGCAGAAAACCCAGCAAAGGGTAACACCAACAATACAAAAAGGTAGAGATCTTGAACCATGTTTTAAGATTTCTTTGGTAACAATCTTTCAATTAAGGTCATCATGGCTGCTGTCTGTGGTTGTTGCTGCTGCATTATAGCTAAAATCTGACCCTGTCTGGCAGCTTCTTGTTGTTACTGTTGTTTCTTTAAAGCAAGTTCTTCTGCTCAAAACTCATTTTCCTTCCCTGTATTTTCCTTCAAAAACTTCGCTGCACCATTTCCACTCCACTGTCATTTGGTCTGTTTCCCTTAATCACCCTCAGCTTCAGATATTTTCTTTGTCTGTCCAAATCGCTCCATGGCCTCTTTTCACATTTTCTCTGCAGTTTGTTTGCCCGCCTCAATCTTCTTTAGGGCTTACTTAGAATCTCTGGATTCTGCTGTCAATTTTTCTCACTCTATTATTTCTTCCATTAAAGTTTCAAGTTCAGTCAGATTATCTACTGCAATGCCACTAACCACCACCAACTTACATATCATCCAGGAGAATTTCTTCGAGAAAAATTCCTGAAGATTTTATCTTTGTAAACCCTTTTATATTAAATGATTTTGTGTACAAAAGGTACTTGTAAATAAACTACAGTTAGATACATCCCAGTAGAGAAATCAAATTGTAACGCCATACAGTAAATTTGACTTGAAACAAATAAAAATGAGTTGTAAATGTTATTTTAATCTTAAAAACAGGGAGACTTGCTCCCAGTAAACATGTAAGCATATTATTTAGCACAATATTAAATGCATGCAACACCCAAAATTGGCCAGTGCACACAAAATTTAAAATTCCAAATAGATGGCAATTGAATGCATTTCTGTCTAACAAGGTGTTAATAGATTTGCAAGGTTTGGAAAAAAACTATAAGCCATCCTGTCACCAGGGAATGAGTGAATATTCATACATTAAGCTTAGGCGTTGTAAAATTGCCAATTTGGAGCCTATAAAACCAAATCAAAGTTTCTACATGGTCCTTCATAACCCCTCGTCATTCCTCAGCTTCAGCTACTTGAATTTCATGTAGTCTTTGAGGTTTGATAAGGAAAACTTTGTACTTTCTCTTGCTGTTCACTGTGTTTGCCATGTGCTCACTGCCTTGATTCTTCGACAAACCTGGCAGCAAAAATAAAGGCAGGTTCACTCGGTAAGGAGCATGAAGCTTGATAAATATTCATGATAAACTATTTTTAAAGATGTTAAGTGTATTTCAACAGTTAAAATTGCTCAGGAGTAGAGCACAACGCAACATTAGATGAGAGATCTGGACACTAGTTATGATTTGCCCGATAGGTGCCTGGCGCGAGCCACTTGTAACAAGCTGTACTTTGCACATGTTTCTATCATTCTCTTACAAGGATGCTCGCCTTTCTAGGATAAATCTCTTGATGAAATAGACAAAGTCTTATCTATGATAGAAACATACTTCAACACGGATTGATCTGGCGAACGAGACACCGGTTGCAAGCGGACTACCCAGTAATACGTCGAACAGAGGAGAACGCGGCCATCGATCGCCGATCGACCGCCATCTTTGTTTTCTTCCCGGACTACAATAGTACGCAATGTCGAAGAAATACAAATGCCCATTCCCCGAATGCACCTACGAGACAGAGGAAGTTACAGACGCGCTCGCGGCCGTCCTTCTATCAGTGCACTCTTCGGGAGTACATGTCACTCCAGGAACAGTGAACACGATCAACCCCAACAGTAACACGAAACTCGAAAGAGTACGCCGTCCGACAATTTCGGCAGCGGGATCGAGTGAGGATTGGTCGTATTTTCTAACGCGTTGGGGCGATTATGTTGCGGCAACTAATGTCACCGGCAAAGAAAAGGTAATCCAGCTCCTCGAGTGCTGCGATGAACAACTTCGCAAAGACCTGACAAGAAACGCGGGCGGTTCCCTCACCGACAAAACCGCAGATGAGGTCATGGCAGCCATAAAAAAGCTTGCAGTACGGGAGGAGAACGCAATGGTCGCCCGTGTGCAGCTACACAACATGCGGCAAGACCGGGATGAGACGATCCGTAGTTTTGGTGCCCGCCTTCGCGGCCAAGCTGGTGTTTGCAAGTTTTTAGTCACTTGCCCTGGCTGCAACATAGAGGTCAACTATACGGAAAACGTCCTTCGCGATGTCCTCACACGTGGCCTGGCTGACAGCGAAATCCAATTAGACCTGTTGGGGGAACGAAACCAAGACATGAGCCTTGAGGAGGTGTTCCAATTCATTGAGGCAAAAGAGGCCGGCAAACGGTCAGCAGGCCGCCTGTCACAAAGCCACAGTACAGACGC